ATCACTCAAATGTTCCCCCAAAATATTGGTCTCTTGCTTTCGACACTGCCTGTTATCTTATTAATTGCACACCTACACCTCTTCTTCACAATGATTCTCCTTTCCACTTTCTTTTTCAACGTGCTCCTGATCTCTCCAATCTACGTGTTTTTGGTTGTCTCTATTATCCATGGCTACGCCCCATCGCCCCAAACAAACTTGCTCCCCGTTCTTTCCCATGTGTTTTTCTTGGTTACAGCAAACTTCACAAGGGTTACCGTTGCCTTCACATTCCCACTGGTCGCATATATGTAAGCCGTCATGTTTTATTTGATGAGAATCGTTTTCCCTTTTCCGAACTACCCACCCCTCCACCATCTGTTCCACCTCTGCACCTCACATCACAACCCACTTTATTTCCTTCACCCCACCATCTGATACCCCTTGGCCCATTCTCCCACCCGATTCAATCACTCCCATTACAGGCCCCCCTTCCCCCTTACACCAGCCCCAGCCCACTAACTCCCCTCGGCCCACCATTGCTCCCCAGCCCGATCCTACATCCCCCCTCCTCTTAAAGCCTCCTAATTCCACCCCTCCAGACCCATCTTCCCCCCTGCCTACTCCCTTAACCCATCCAGATTCCATTCCCCGGCCCACTGAATCCCCTCCCCCTGACTCATTCTCTCGTCCCACCCCTACCCCCTGCCATCAACTTCTTCCCCAACCATTCCTTCTCCTCCTCGCCCTCTCCTTCAATATCACCGTCGACGTCCTATTCCTCCCTCCAATTCACCGCCCCAACCCCCTATATCCATCCCACCTCAATCTTCTTTCGTTCCTCGTTCGTCCACCCCCCAGCCTCCTCGCCGACCCCTTCCCAATCGCCCTCCATTCACCACTTCCCCTCGCCAGATTCCCAATACAAATCCCACTGTCTCAGCTCACCCAATGGTCACCCGCATCAAAAGGGAAACCTCAAACCTCGTACCCTACTCTCTCACGTGCATCTTGATGACACGCCCACTACTGTGACACAGGCTCAAGCTACCCCACTGGCGCTCGGCCATGGCCGATGAGGTCACTGCCCAGCTACGGAACCATACCTGGGACTTGGTTCCACCCCCACCAAACTGCAATATTCTCTCCAACAAGTGGGTCTATCAAAGCAAGCTCCATCCCGACGGTAAACTCGATCATCGACGGGCTCGCCTGGTCGCGCGAGGTTTTGAACAAATTCCGGGCCTCAATTTTCAGCAGACCTACTGCCCGATTCTGAAGTCGGCTACTCTTCGTCTGATTCTCGGTCTTGTGGTTACTCAGGATTGGCCGCTACATCAAATTGATATTGCTAACGCCTTTCTTCATGGTGAGTTACAGGAACCTGTTTATATGCAGCAGCCGCCTGGATTCGTTGATCCCGACAAGCCGGATCATGTTTGTCATCTTCAGAAATCCATATACGGACTTCGACAGGCGCCCAGGACGTGGTTTCAATGTCTAGCCGCTTCTCTCTCTCGGTTTGGTTTCTCTGTTTCCCGCACTGATCCATCACTGTTTATTTACAAGACCGGACCCACGCGATTGTATATGATGGTATATGTCGATGACATCGTCATCACGGGTAATGATTATGCTCTCATTCAGCGGCTGTTTCCCTTCCTCCATGATAATTTTGCTCTCAAGGAATTGGGGTCACTATCGTACTTTCTCGAAATTGAGGTACATAGATCCTCTTCTGGTCTCATCCTCAGTCAGCGCAAGTTCATTCAGGATCTGCTCGAACGTGCTCACATGTCTGCCGCCAATGCCATCTCAACTCCATCCACAGTGGATATTATACATCAGTCGGCCATGGATTCTTCTCCATCATTTTCTGATCCAGCTCTGTATCGCAGCATAGTTGGCGGGTTACAATATCTCAGCTTCACCCGGCCGGATATCTCCTTTGATGTCAATCATGTTTCTCAGTTTCAACACTTTCCAACAGACAAACATTGGGCAGCTGTAAAGCGAATTTTACGCTATCTCCGCGGTACTATTGCTCGTGGGCTCGAATTTTCCAAATCACCTACTCTTCATGTTCATGGCTATTCGGATGCTTCCTCGGCTTCTTGTCCGAAAGATCGCAAATCTATCACAGGGTTCGCAGTTTTCTGTGGTTCGAACCTAGTGTCCTGGTCTACTCGCAAGCAAAAATCCGTCGCCCGCTCTTCAACCGAGTGTGAGTATCGTGCACTTGCTACTCTTGCCTCTGAAGTTCTTTGGCTCAAGACTTTGCTTCATGAGTTGGGTCAGTCGATTCCTTCTGCTCCAGCCCTTTGGTGTGACAATCTTGGTGCGACATTCCTTGCTCATAATCCTGTGTTTCATAATCGGTGAAAGCATATGGAGATAGAGTTCCACTTCGTTCGTGATCAAGTCAGCAAAGGTCAACTACACGTTCACTATTTACCTGCTCCGGATCAACTTGTCAATGTGTTGACCAAGCCTTTACCACGGCTGTCCTCCAAATTCTGCTCCAAGTTTCGCCTCACCGAGCCTCAACTTGCGGGGGCGTGATAAGGGGCTTGGTCCATAAGTTTCTCCTTAGCTGTTAGTTGTTAGTGGTGGAACGTTGGTCACCTCTTTCTGTTCCTTATTTCATTCTTTCTGTTGCTTTTCATTCGCTGCACTCTGTTGCTGTGTACTATAAATTTGTTGAATCAATAATAGAAACTCAAGCTTTGAGTCTTTCAATATCTAGCTGCCTGATTTATTTGTGCAATTATGCATTTCTCTTGGTACTTATGCTTGTGTGTTATTATTATTTTTATTTTTATTTTTTCTGTTTCCTTATTGACAATATGCAGGCACTCAAAGTTCTTATATTCCTGCTTTGCCTGCATTAACCAGATGTACAATTGAATCAAAATTCCAAGTCTTCAAGAAGAAGGAGAAGTCGCAAATGAGCCAGAGAAGGAAGTCTCAGGTTGGCACTGCCAATGGGGATGAGTCGTACGGAATACCTCAGCTTTGTGTACGCATGCATGAATACTCTGCATCACATTAGAATGCAGTTAGTTAGAAGTTTTGGAGAAGAGGACAACCATGTCAATGACGAGTTTACCAATGGAGTTGGGGTGAGGAAGTTTGAGCTATCAGCTGCTGCCTATTTGGAAGGGATTCACTTACATTACATGTTGTCTCGATGGGTTCCTGCTAGTTTTGCTTGCTGGTGGACCCTCTCGTGCTTTCTCTTTGCAAGATCGATCACGTGGTAATAGAGGAGAGGAGGAATACAAGTTTCTTAGGGAGCTTTTCTGGTCCAATGGAGATGGGCTGCCAGTTGAGTTGATAGACAATTGTATTCGGCCACTGTTAGAAGCATCCTTCCGAATGGACTCCGAAGCCCTCATCTCATCGAGAGGTTCAAAAGTGGGGCTGCGCGCAGAGGCTTATGGCTCTGCTACTAAATCCAGACTGACTTCCACTGCCGCCAACTACAGGTTACTGGCCGGGGTCCTACTTAGTGAACCCGGCCAATACTCTATTGAGAGTTTTGTGTTACCGAAATGATGAGACAGCAACGAAGTTTCTGAACAAGACTTACAACCTGCCTAAGAAATTGTACTTGCCTTCTATATTACTCCATTTTCTAAGTGTGATTAAAGTTGCCTAGTGATTTTATGTTCGCCTAGTGTTAATGCTTTGGCTTTATTTTGGAATCAAATATTGTTATCGGTAATTATTATGGGTGAGTGTAGTTTTTAATATTTTGCAACATAATTTTAAAGTAGTAATCATATTCATACCTGTAATCTTTTATATAACGTAAATTTGTATAATTATGTGGTTTGAGAAAATGCATCATCCCCGAATGATCGATCAAATTTTTCTAGTTCGTGGATGTTAATTGAATAATCTTCCGAATACTATCTGTAAAACGAGGAGAAATGAGTTAGAATTGGGACAAATGGTTTAGGATTGAAATTTATAGAGATAATCATAACACTTAGTGATATGAATGATGGAAGATGTAAAGTGAGAAAATCAACAACGTAGTTTTAGCATGTAATTAGGACTCTAAATGAGTTCGATGCAGTCAAGTCATGCAGATACTTAAAATATAAAATAGGGTTAATTGCATGGTTGGTCACTGAGATCAATGCAGTCAAAATCGCGCTTTAAAACTTAAAAACTTACGATTTTAGGTCATCCAAACGCTTTCGTTTCCATATAAAAACTTAAGTGTATAAAATCGGACTAAATTGCGCTTTAAAGCTTAAAAGCTAACAGTTTTACGCTTCTAGTTCACCAAAACGCTTTACGTTTTTACGCTTTTAGTTCACAAAATGAGTATTCTTTTCATGAAATTAATTATAAAAAGTATATTTTAAAAGTAAATCACCAACAATATGATACATTTGAGATTAGAAGATACATATCAGGTACTTGGATGCATTCTCAACTTCAATAGAGTAATATAATTCACCAGCTAGGCTTTTCCCAAATTCATTAGCATAGAGGGAAAAGTGGCTTATTGTTAAAATTTATGTTTACGAACTTATTATTAAGATGCTATAAGTTGTTCTACTTTAGGCATGAATCGCATGTATTTATTAACTTATCTATGCATTCATATTTTGCATATATAGCATATGTCCTACTTAATAGATTTTTAGTTATTTTTCAGTATGGGTCAAAAACTTACGCTTTTACGCTTTGATTCTACGCTTTACAATTTTATCCCTTTTCCGCTTCTAGGTAGAATCGCACTTTTGACTGCATTGACTGCGATTACAAAAAATGTTTAAGTTTGGTCACTAGAAATATTTAAATCTATTAGTGGTACTTCAGTTTACTGAAACCGTTCATGTTTGGTCACTCTCCGTCCAACTTCGTTAACTTTTGCTTACGTGGCGGCCAACTCTAAAAGTTGACCGTTAAATGTGTGACGTGGCAATTAAAAAATTATTAAAAAATAAAATTTCATCTTTGTATAATTTCTACCTCATTTTTACAAATATTAAAAAATAAAACCCCTAATTTTTTTATCCCCTCCAACAAACCTTAGACCTGATTCCATCAACGTTCCCAACGAGGGCAAATACGTCTCTGGTTGTGGTTGTGGCGGATGAGCTCGAAGGACTGGAGGTCGATGGTGGAAGGGTGGGTGGAGGAGAGAGAAAGTGATAGCCCTTGGCTCGGCCACTCGTTTCCTGAGCATGAAAACACCATCGATGAATTATTGTTGTTAATCGGATCCTCCTCCACAACCGCCGCCATCATCCCCGCCTCCACCCCTCCGCCATCGCCGCTGAACTCGTGCTGGTGGTGGGTTCGCTGGTAGCAGACTTTTCGCCGAAGGGTTTCCACATGGCGGGGGGAGAGTGGGGTTTGACGGATGAGTTGGGGAAGCCGATCATATCGTTGCCGGTGGTGAGGTTGAAGATCTCGGACGGCGCGGAATCGAAGCCTTGGTGGTGGATCTGATGGCTCATAATCATCTGTTGCTGAGCCGCTAATGGGGGTGGTGGTGAGTATCCGAACTCAGCTCCTCCTCCACCACCAGCTCGAACTCCTTTCTCTTCGTTGCTGCTTTCCATCAAGCCAATAACGAGTAACTAACTGATGATCCCCTGTAAGAGAAAGGTAGGAAAGAGAGTGAGATTAGAATAAGCCCTTTTTGGTCAAACAGTGATTTATTGAATTATTTTTACCAGTGGAAAGGAAGAAGAGTGGGGAAAGGAAGCGTGTAGAGGGGGAAGTGGATGGTGGAGTGGTACTGCTCTACTGGGAAAAGAAGAAGGTTTGAGGTTTGTTGGAGGGGATAAAAAATTAGGGGGTTTTATTTTTAAATTTTTAATATTTGTGAAAATGAGGTGGAAATTATACAAAGATAAAATTTTATTTTTTAATTGCCACGTCACACATTTAACGGTCAACTTTTGGAGTTGACCGCCACGTAAGCAAAAGTTAACGGAGTTGGACGAAGAGTGACCAAACATGAACGGTTTCAGTAAACTGAAGTACCACTAATGGATTTAAATATTTCGAGTCATCAAACTTGAACGTTTTTTGTAATCTCAAATTCTCAATGACCAACCATGCAATTAACCCATATAAAATATCACACTGAACTTATTTCATAACTTTCCAAAATTAGGTTATTTTGTTTCACTGGTTTGTTTTACCAAATAAGCAGGGATCACACTGAAGCAATCAGATTTAGGCCCACTGCTTCCTTACCATCATATGCTTGGGCTTTGGTCATCTCATTTGTCCAGCCTGTCTTAATTTTCGGCCCATGTCTCTGCATCAAAATTAAGTCAGTGAGTCAGCCGAGGTTGAGAAGCTAACCAACAATGGCATCAACACTCGGCCTCCTCAAAGCGCTACTCAGAAGGCCAGGCGCCATCGCCACCAAATTTGAAGTTAAACAGCTCCTGATAGCACTTCTCAAACGGCCTGGGACGATCACCTCCAAATCCAAAGCCAAGCAGCTCCATGCCCAAATCCTCAAGCACAACCCGTCCTCACCTCTGTACACATCCACAGTCATCTGTGTTTACTCTAGCTTCAAGCTCCTGAACCAATCCCTGCTCCTGTTTAGAAGCCTACACCGTCCACCTTCTCTCGCCTACAAATCCATCATCAAATGCTACGCCGTGAATGGATGCTTTGTTGAATCGTTGGCCTCTTTTGTGGACATGAGATGATGAGGACATCAATGGGCCAGTCACACGTGCTAAGGCAAGGACGTTGAAGGAGAAGCTTCCGACATATTTCGAGAGCTACTTTGAAGCCATGGACATGGAGCTATTTCAAGGGAAGCCATATATGATGATTCGAGTGGAGGAAGAAGGAGGAAGTGCTAAAGAGAAGGCAGTTTGCAAGAAGCAGCCTTAACGGGTCCAGCCTTAACGGGTTTACTTAACGGGTCCAGGCTTAACGGTTTGGACTTAACGGGTTTGCTGGGCTGTTTCCGAGTTTCCTTGTTTTAAAGTCGATTTATTATTGTTTTTCCATGTTGGAGTCGGATTTGGGTTGTACTTTGCCTATTTAAAGGGCTGAACACGTTGGTTTGCCCTGAGACGATTATTATTAAATTTCAGAGGCTAAAGCCGAGTTCCCTATGCGGAATTTGCCCTAATTACTCTGTCGAGAATCTCCAGAGTGCTAGAGAGACTCTTATCAGCTAGGTATTCACCCTGGTTGTGGAGATCTACCCATATCGACTGTCCTTTATTCCGAGTTGAATCTGTCCGATCGATTCATACATCGATTGCCCTTATTCACAGGTGAGTACTGTCCGATCGATTTCCATCCTATCCGGTTCTGTTTGGTTCGAGAATCTTGACCCTGCGCAACTTTGATTATATCAAGTGGTATCAGAGCCTGGTTCAAATCAGCGGCGTGTTCTTGAAGTTTTTTGAAGATCTTGTACGTGCGTTCTTGTTCGTGTTCTTGGTGGTTTTGTGCGAGTTCTTGAAGATCTTGGCGTGTTCTTGAGCCGCAAGACAGGAGGTTGTTTGTTCTTGGGAGTTCTTGGTGTTTCTTGCGAGGCAAGAAGCAGGTTGTGCGAGTTCTTGTTAAGTTCTTGTGTTCTTGGAGTTTTCTTGCATCGCAAACATGGAAGCAGCACTCGAAGCGATCAGAAATCAATTGGAGAACATTGCTCGTGCTCAAGAAGAGCAAACAGCAAGGCTTGCCGAGCAAGCCACGAGGATGGACGCTGTCGGGACAAGGCTCTAGCAGCCGGTTGTGGTCGATACAAACCCTAACCCTAGACCTCGACAAGAAGAAAGGGGAAGGGAAAATCGAGCTCCTCCACCCTTGGTTCACGAAGTACAGCGTCATATGCGCCAGCATAGACGCCTTGGAATGCCTCGAGCTGAAAGGAGAGGGCGGCAGCAGCATCATGAAGAGGAGTTTAATGACGAGGAAGAAGAGGGCTTTGAGGAGGATGAGGAGTTCCGAAACCTCAAGGTCACGATTCCACCTTTTCGCGGTACCACGAACCCTGATGCTTATTTGGATTGGGAGCAAAAGATGGAACTAGTGTTTGATTGTCATAACTACTCCTACAAGAAGAAAGTGACATTGGCTGCCCTAGAGTTCTCGGATTATGCACTTGTTTGGTGGGATCGGTTGGGAACGAAATGAAGGAGAAACAGGCAACGTCCTATTGAGACGTGGGATGAGATGAAAGGAATTATGAGGGATCGGTTTGTACCGAGTTCCCATTTGCGAGATATGTATCAAAATCTCCAGCTTCTCCGGCGAGGAACTAAAAGCGTTGAAGATTATCACAAGGAGTTGGAAGTGTTGATGATACGTGCTGATGTGATAGAGGACCGCGAGGCTACCATAGCTCGTTTTCTGTATTGTCTCAATCGAGAGATCAAGAACGTGGTGGAGATACAATCGTTCCTTGAACTTAAAGATTTGGTGGATATGGCAAGTAAATTGGAACGGCAGCTCCGAAATAGGAGGTTTCAACCCTCCACGAATTCCACACGTTCGAGCCAAGGAGTTGCAACCAACCCTAAGTCGCAACTGCCCGTGAAAGAAGCTCCTAGACCCGCGGCAAGTGCTGATGGTGCAAATCCAGTTATGAAGCAAGGTGGATCGTCGGGGGAAATTCGTTGTTTCAAATGCCATGGAAGAGGACACATTGTGAGCCAGTGTGCCAATAAGAAGACCCTGATCTTGCTTGATAATGGCGAGTATGTATCGGAGGAAGAGGAAGAGACCACAGATTCTGATGTCGATGAGTCTATGGAAATGGAACCACCTCCAGGCAGTTTTTTGTAGCACTGAGAGTATTGTCTGCATAGCCTAAGGAGGAGAGTGAACAGAGAGAAAATATCTTCCATACGAGAAGAAGAAGCTTGCGACATATTTGGAGAGCTACTTTGGAGCCATGGACGTGGAGCTATTTCGAGGGAAGCCATATATGATGATTCGAGTGGAGGAAGAAGGAGGAAGTGCTGAAGAGAAGGCAGATTGCAAGAAGCAGCCTTAACGGGTTTATTTAACGGGTCCAGGCTTAACGGTTTGGGCTTAACAGGTTTGCTGGGCTGTTTTCGAGATTCCTTTTTTAAAGTCGGTTTATGATTGTTTTTCAATGTTGGAGTCGGATTTGGGTTGTACTTTGCCTATTTAAAGGACTAAACACGTTGGTTTTCCCTAAGACAATTATTATTGAATTTCAGAGGCTAAAACCGAGTTCCCTACGCGGACTTTGCCCTAATTACTCTGTCGACAATCTCCAGAGTGCTAGAGCGACTCTTATCAGCTAGTTATTCACCCTGATTGTGGCGAGCTACCCATATCAATTGCCCTTTATTCCGAGTTGAATCTGTCCGATCGATTCATATATCGATTGCTCTTATTCACGGGTGAGTACTGTCTGATCGATTTCCATCCTATCCGGTTCTGTTTGGTTCGAGAAGGTTGACCCTGCGCAACTTTGATTATATCATGAGAGCTTCTGGTAACACCCCTGATCACAGTGTGTTCCCTTCCGTCCTGAAAGCTTGCGCCTTCTTTCTGGATTTGAGATTGGGGGAGGCGGTTCATGGGTGCATTATTAGGTTGGGGATGGACATTCATTTGACTACTGGGAATGCCCTCATTAACATGTACGCAAAGCTCCAGAGCTTGGCCGAGAGCGAGTGGGGCGAAAGTGACAGGCGCAAGGTGTTCGATGGAATGTCTGAGAGAACTGTTGATAGTCTATTTGCAGGCCAACTGTCGAAAGAAAACAAGGATGCGCAGGCTATTAGTGCCAACACTGTCCTGAGACGGTTTGTAGATATTTTTCCTCAGCTTGGTAGTTGCTTCGACAGTAGAAGTAGAATCGGCTCGCGAGTGGATAGCTGCGTGAAGAAGGTATTTGAGATGATGCCAACAAGAGATATTATATCTTGGAACACTGTAATTGCAGGGAATGTACAAAATGGATTTCACGAAGATGCTTTGGTGATGGTTAGGGAGATGGGAAACGCTGGGCTGAAGCCCGACATATTTACTTTTCAGCCATACTTCCTATCTTTGCCCAATACGTGGATGTCGCTAAGGGAAAGGAGATTCATGGTTATGTTATTAGATATAGCTTTGAGAAGGACATGTACGTTTCCAGCAGCTTGATCAACATGTACTCGAGGTGTTCTCGAGTGGAGGACTCGATACGTGTGTTCAAGGTTACTCCTCAACGTGACATCATTTCCTGGAACTCAGTTATTGCTGGTTGCGTGCAGAATAGTATGTTTGATAAAGGCTTAAGACTTTTTCGACAGATGTTGAGGGACAATGTTATACTAGGGAGCGTTTCATTCTCCAGCATCATGCCAGCTTGTGCTCACTTGACCACATTGAATTTGGGAAAGCAGCTTCATGGATACATACTGAGGTGTGGATTTGATGATAATGTGTTTATTTCTAGTTCATTGGTGGACATGTATGCCAAATGTGGTCATATTAGGATAGCTAGATGGATTTTTGACGGCATAAAGGGACGTGACATGGTATCATGGACAGCCATGATAATGGGTTGTGATTTACATGGTTATGCTCAAGATTCCATCTCGTTATTCGAGCAGATGAAATTGGAAGGAATTCGACCAAATCATGTGGCACTCGCGGCTATCTTAACTGCTTGTAGTCATGCTAGCATGATCGATGAAGGTCGAAGATACTTTGATCAAATGACCGAGGAATATGGTATTAGACTAGGGTTAGAACACTATGTTGCAATGGCAGACCTTTATAGTCGAAAGGGCAAGCTGAATGATGCTTATCAACTCATCATTACCATGAGTACGCCAACA